CAGTGTGGGGGCGTGTCGGGGGGGTCAGCGTGGGGGACACCCCCCACACTCTGTGGGAGACCCCAGGAGGAGCCCCCTGAGCGTGGAGCTGCCCTGGGAATGGGGGGGACGGGGCGGGGGGGGCACAGGGCACGTGTAGGGGACACATGGTGTGTGTGGGGACAGAGAAGAAGCACTGGGGGGGCACAAGGACCGGGGGGTTCACAGGGCTGGTCGCGGCGCTGCCCGGGCTCACACGTGTGGGGGGGGGCGGCCCCTGCGCGGTCCCGGAGCCCCCCGGGCGTGTCCCCCCCGTCCCCCGGCCCGGTACCTGCATGGCGCGGATCCGCTCCCGCTCCAGCCCCTGCACCGCGCTCTCCACGGCCGCCTGGACCCGGCCCTGCGCCGCCTCCGCCTCCGCCATCCCCGCCCGGCACCGCGGCCTCGGGCCCGCCCCGAGCGGGGCCGGGCTGGGCCGGGAGCGGGCGGGGGTCGGGGGGACGGGCCAGGACCGGGCCGGGGGGACGGGAACCATCGGGGTGTATCCCAGGGAACCGGGGAATTCCCAACCCCTGCTGCCCCCCAAACACCGGGGCGGGGGGGAGAGGTCGGGCCGGGCAACCCCGGGGGGCTCGGGGTGGGGTGGATGGGGCGATACAACCCCCCCCTGCTCCAATGTCCACCCCCCAAAACCGGGGGGCTCGGGGCGGGGGCAGTGCCCACCCTCCTCACTGCAGTGCCCGCCCCCCAAAAAACGGGGGGGGGGGGCGAGCTGGGCCCCATGGGGGGGCCTGGGGGGCAATGCAACCCCCCCTGCCACGTGCTGCAGTGACCTGGGTCACCCCCCTAGACTTTAATCCAGAACAAGGATTAAGGTCATTCCCCCCTCACCCCCCAAACTGGCCATGGAGGAAAAGCAACACCCCAAATTCGCTGTGTTCCCCCCCCAAACACATCCCTGACACTGCTGGTGGGCTGGGTCAGGGATGAGATCCTGCAGCCCCCCAAATTCTCTGGCTCACCCTCCCCCAAACACATCCCCCACGCTGCTGGGGGGGTGGGGATATGGCCCCCCAGGCCCCCAAATTCTGCAGGTCCACCCTTTCCTCACTCCTGGCTTCATGATTTGGGATAAAAACATGGGAAAAGGGGGCTGAGCCCATCACTGGAGCATCAGTCCTGCACCCTGGGGGTACTCCCCACCCTGTCACAGGACCCAGCACCTCCTTCACAAATATCCCCCCAAAAAAGCCCCAAACCACAAGTTTTCTGAAAAAAAGTGTCTTTTATATCACTTAAATAACTCTAATCCAGGTATTAGGAGAGGGAAAAAAAAAAGACCAGGCGATCACAAGAACATATTTATAGGAATCAAAATTAATTTAAACCACACAAAATAAATTAAAACATTAAATATTAACTTTCAGTGCAACATATACAGAAGACATGAGAGTAACCATGACTTAAAAAAAAACCAAAAATAACCCAAAAACAGAGGAAAAAGCGCCAGGTTGGTTATGAGAAGGACTACGGGGAGGATTAAGGCCGTGCTGGAGGTTGGAGCTCCAGCCCGAGGAGGTTTCCTAGGATTAAGGTTCATTTTATTATTAATAAAAAGCTTGTATTTGTCCCCAAAATGAGCATGGGCCGAGTGGCTGCCGAGGTTCTGTCTCTGTAGAAAAATAAAGCCCCATCCTGCCGGGGTTCTGGTTTAAAAACAATCATCCAGGAGGCAAAAACCAGGGAAAACAACCCAAAACCAAAGGCAAAGCCCACTGGCACAAGGCCAGGGCTCGGGCCCGTGGCTCTGCTGGTGCTGCTGAGCACGTTCCTGTCTTGCTTCTTCCGTGGTGGTGGGAAAATGAGGAAAAAGGGAGAAAACATCCCAGAAAATAGACCAAAAGCAGAGGAGAGGTGCTGTGCCATTCCTGGGGTCCAGGGGGGTCCTGGCTCCGTCACACACCTGTGGGGAAGGAGGGGGCAGTGGGTTATACTCCGGGGGTGCTGGTGGTTGTGGTCCCACCATGGTGCCCCCGGGCACCTGTCTTGGCAAGGCAGCAGGTGCCACCCCTCAGGTGTCCCCTGTCCCTCACCTGTCTTGGCATGGCAGCAGGTGCCACCCCTCAGGTGTCCCCTGTCCCTCACCTGTCTTGGCAAGGCAGCAGGTGCCACCCCTCAGGTGTCCCCTG